TTTATTCTTTTTCTGAGAGTGTAGTTAGAGATACTTTGGCTTGGCCAGCACAACTATCGTTTCAGGGTGTTAGGAATTACTTGCAGTATTAGGTTTAGTAGCAGTGGGATAACGATCTGGCGGAATCGTGTCACTGGATTCGCCATCTGTAGGAAGGGATTTGCTAGGCAGGAGTTATGGTCGACGGGGCGAGTGCGACACACCACGACAGCCTTGTTGATACGCGTCTGGGTCGGTGGATGCGGTCTGCGGCGGGTGCGTGTCCGCGCAGCCGGCACCGTGTGCGGCACAGGGCCATCGCGGCTGTGCGTGTGGCGCTGCTCGTTGTGTTGGCGCTGGTTGCGGCGGCGGCGTGGATGCCCGCGGTGCATGCGGTGGTGTTGCGATTGCGAGGCGGCACGGTGGACAGAGGCATCACGGTTGGCCGCGCCGTGGACACGGTGCTGATGGACGGCGTGTACATGACGAACGGCGTGGCTGTGGTGTTCGACGTGCCGGCGATGCTTCCCGGCGCGCTGCGCATCGAACTGAGGAACTGCGTGTGCGACGGCGGTGCGCAGATCTACGTGCGGGGCTACAGCGGCGAGCCGGCGAGTGACCGGAGCCTGGAGGTGAGCGTGAGCGGGCTGTCCGGCGACTACTGCTCGCTTGTGTTTGTGCACAACCTGCCGGCACACACGAACGTGACGGTCCGTGACTCGACGATCGTGACGCCGGGGCCGATGCGCTACTCCCAGCTGAGTGGGCTGACGGACGCGGTGGCGTCGCCGCTAGTGCTGCACGCGACGTCGCTGTTGCAGACGCAGCTGCGTGTGAGCAACACTGTGCTGAGGTCGTTGCATGCGGGCGGGTCTGCGGTGCACGTTGGCGGCGGTGTGGACCTGCAGTCGAGCGCGGTGGTGCTTGACGGCGTGTCGCTGGAGGCGTCGGGCGATTCGACCGCGTTCGCGATGCATGTGGCGTCCTCGTCGCGCCTCAGTCTGCGGGGCCACTCGGTGTTCTCCGTGACGAACGTGTCGGTTGTAAGCAGCGGCGGCGGCATTGTGCTTGGAGAGCGCCTCGCGGTGGTTGATTCGGTGCTGCGCTTCGTGCGCGTTGAGGGGTCAGTTGCGTCGTCGCTGGTGCGCTGCGACGGTGGAACGGTCGATGCCGGCGGGTGGCTGGAGCTGCGCGACGTGTGGGCGGTGGGCGAGGCGTCGTCGGTGGCATCGCTGTCGGGTGTGACGCTGAGCGGCGGCACCGTGTCGATTGCGCGCTGCACTGC